ATTCTGCAGACTGTTGAGGGTTCAGCCTCCTGATGAGTCGGTGAAACTCCGACGAAACAGTTTGTCACAGCCCCTCGTTTGTTGTCCTCTTCTCTCTCTCTGCCTACGGTTTACCGGGCAGTTCTATTTGTGATGATATATATATATTTTTTTAACTGACATAGATGAGAAGGTGAGAAAAACAAGTGGTTTAAAATTTAGGTCACGAGTACTTTTCCCTGCTATTTATTTCCGGAGTTGCGGCGTGCATGCAGCCGCAACGACTGTCGGTCGGGAAATAAAAGGGGTGCCATTCGGCTGGATATCCATCCCGAGTGGCATGCAAGGTATGGAAAGAGTATGGAAAGAACTGTACGGCAATACAGCTTCGAGCATGAGATTGGAAGCGCAAGATACACCCATCAACACATTCCAATACGCACACTCAGATAAAGAGTCACAATAGAAACAGTATCCAGGTAGCTTTCATAAGAGGGGCAAACTTTCCCCGATGAAGAAGAAGAACAATAAGCACACCTCTCACGAAATTCCCACGCGGCCACACCTCTACGAGTTTCAGCTACCCCGCACGTAGCATCATCAGGAGGATTGAAACACTACCCGAAATCCGAAACGACTCAGTGTAGGAGGTCATTCCCTAATGCCTTACCTCCTTATATACTAACTACCCCACTCCCTCCCTCTCCCTCTCCACAGTATCACGGCAGGGATCAGTGGCAACAAGTGTACTCCACCGGGTGCAAGCAGCTGGAGCTGGGCCATGACAACTGAGTAGCAATCACCCAAGGACCCCTCGTCAGGGAGATGAGTCATCAAGGAAAAAATGGTGAGATGACAACCCTCGATGAAGCACGTCGCTCGTAGATGCGAAAAACCTGCATAAAACACACACAAGACAAAATGGACAGACAGAAGCAGAGATCGTACGTCGTCTGGGAACACCGCTGTCACCAGCTGTTGGCGAAAGCGCGAGCTTTGCCTGGATGGATATCCATCCCAGCAAAACGGCGCCCCGGTGCTTCGTCAAATTTGCGCCTGCGGGCAAGCTGCATATTTGTCTTTTTTTTTGGCTTGGAAACGTACTGGTGGCTTAAGGAATGAAGTGGGTACACACGGAAGCAGCAAGGGATCGGGGGAAGCATCATTATGCACCAAACACAAAGCTGAGAACAACGCACAGAGACAGACAGAGAGACACAGAGAGAGAGAGAGAGAGAGAGAGAGAGAGAGAGAGAGAGAGAGAGAGAGAGGGATGGGCAAATGTATCCAGAGTCAAGATCTTCATGTTGTGTGTGTGTGTGTGTGTGTGTGTGTGTGTGTGTGTGTG